CGTACAGCATTATGATGTCACCGAGATAAAGTCAGTTGATCAAATGAAAATGCTGGCACACAGATGGCTCCAACTTCATCCTGTTCCCTACTTGTATGTCTCATAACAATAAAAATGCTTTCAAATGAGCTGATGTAGGTAACAGCTCTTAGCTTGCCAATAAAGTTAGGAATCCTAAACCTGTAAATAGCTTGTCAATAAAGCTAGAGATCCTTAACCTTGTCAAACCCTGGGTAAAAAAAAAAAAAAAAAAGAGAGAGTGAGAGAGAGAGCCAGCCAGCGAGCCAGGAAGCTTACAGCACTTCGCCGTATGTCGCATCTGCTTGACAGCAGGGGTTGCAAGATTTTGTACGAGGCACAAGTACACTCACACCTTGAGTATGCTCCACTTTCTTGGTTCGCCTGCCCCCCCTTCTTGTCTGCGACTGCTTGACAGAGTAGAGAACAGAGCAAGACGTCTAATCTCTCGCCTGGACCAATCCTGGATAGATCTGTCATTTCAGCAGAGCCTTCAACACAGGAGGGATGTGGGTGGCCTTACTGTTATGTACAAGGCCTATATTGTCAAAGTACCACACTTGGATCCACTTCGAGGACAGCGTGAAGCAAGCTTCTATACCACAAGACGGGCAGAAAGCAGCAACTTCACTCTGGCTGTACCCTTCTCCAGAACATCACTCCATCTGAGATCATACATACCCAGGATGACTCGTGTATGGAACACATTCGTACAGCATAATGATGTCAACGAGATAAAATCAGTTGATCAAATGAAAATGCTGGCCCACAGATGGCTCCAACTTCATCCTGTTCCCTACTTGTATGTCTCATAACAATAAAAATGCTTTCGAATGAGCTTATGTAGGTAACATCTCTTAGCTTGCCAATAAAGTTAGGAATCCTTAACCTGTAAATAGCTTGTCAATAAAGCTAGAGATCCTTAACCTTGTCAAACCCTGTGTAAAAAAAAAAAAAAATAAGAGAGCGAGAGAGCAAGAGAGAGAGCAAGAGAGTGAGAGAGAGAGCCAGCCAGCGAGCCAGCCAGCCAGCCAGGAAGCTTACAGCATTTCGCCGTATGTCGCATCTGTTGACAGCAGGGGTTGCAAGATTTTGTACGAGGCACAAGTACGCTCACACCTTGAGTATGCTCCACTTTCTTGGTTCGCCTGCCCCCCCTTCTTGTCTGCGACTGCTTGACAGAGTAGAGAACAGAGCAAGACGTCGAATCTCTCGCCTGGACCAATCCTGGATAGATCTGTCATTTCAGCAGAGCTTTCAACACAGGAGGGATGTGGGTGGCCTTACTGTTATGTACAAGGCCTATAATGTCAAAGTACCACACTTGGATCCACTTCAAGGACAGCGTGAAGCAAGCTTCTATACCACAAGACGGGCAGAAAGCAGCAACTTCACTCTGGCTGTACCCTTATCCAGAACATCACTTCATCTGAGATCATTTATCCCCAGGATAACTCGAGTATGGAACACATTTGTACAGCATTATGTCAACGAGATAAAGTCAGTTGATCAGATGAAAATGCTGGCCCACAGATGGCTCCAGCTTCATCCTGTGCCTTACTTGTATGTCTCATAACAATAAAAATACTTGTGTGTTTCATAACAATAAAAATGCTTTCAAATGAGCTGATGTAGGTAACAACTCTTGGCTTGTCAATAAAGTTAGGAATCCTTAACCTGTAAATAGCTTGTTAATAAAGCTAGGGATCCTTAATCTTGTCAAACCCTGTGTAAAAAAAAAAAAAAAAAAAGAGAGCCACCAGGTCACCTTACATTGTATTGGGCCATGTGATAAACCCAGCAGGTGAGGTACTACCATAAGACATGACTGTCAGGTCATATGGTACTGTCTCACCCAGCTGTCAGGTCACATGGCACCATATAACACAGTTCTCAGGCCACATAGTATCACCTCATCCAGATATCAAGTCACATGGTACTGTCTCACCCAGCTGTCAGGTCACATGGCACCATATAACACAGTTTCTCAGGCCACATAGTATCGCCTCATCCAGATATCAAGTCACATGGTACTGTCTCACCCAGCTGTCAGGTCACATGGCACCATATAACACAGTTCTCAGGCCACATAGTATCGCCTCATCCAGATATCAAGTCACATGGTACTGTCTCACCCAGCTGTCAGGTCACATGGCACCATATAACACAGTTCTCAGGCCACATAGTATCACCTCATCCAGATATCAAGTCACATGGTACTGTCTCACCCAGCTGTCAGGTCACATGGCACCATATAACACAGTTCTCAGGCCACATAGTATCACCTCATCCAGATATCAAGTCACATGGTACTGTCTCACCCAGCTGTCAGGTCACATGGCACCATATAACACAGTTCTCAGGCCACATAGTATCACCTCATCCAGATATCAAGTCACATGGTACTGTCTCACCCAGCTGTCAGGTCACATGGCACCATATAACACAGTTCTCAGGCCACATAGTATCGCCTCATCCAGATATCAAGTCACATGGTACTGTCTCACCCAGCTGTCAGGTCACATGGCACCATATAACACAGTTCTCAGGCCACATAGTATCACCTCATCCAGATATCAAGTCACATGGTACTGTCTCACCCAGCTGTCAGGTCACATGGCACCATATAACACAGTTCTCAGGCCACATAGTATCACCTCATCCAGATATCAAGTCACATGGTACTGTCTCACCCAGCTGTCAGGTCACATGGCACCATATAACACAGTTCTCAGGCCACATAGTATCACCTCATCCAGATATCAAGTCACATGGTACTGTCTCACCTGGCTGTCAGGTCAAGTATATTATGTGAAAATAATGTCAAGTTGCCAGCTGAAGACATGGAGTAATGAGGAACAGAGGACACTTTTTTTTCAAGCACCAGCTGTCACTTACCAAAGTAGAATGATCCAAAATAGAGGAAACACATTCAATGTCATACAATTACTCTTGCCAAGAAGCATGTTGACAGAAGAAACATGCAATACAGGAGAGCCCTGCTTTACAGCATTTCACTAATGCAGTGGTTTTCAATTACTATATCCATTCTTCACTTATTCAAGACATCCTATAATGGAGGGATATGTTGTGTATCTTTATGTGTGTATGCTTCTAGACTGTTGTATTCTGAGCACCTCTGCAAAAACAGTGATAATGTGTGAGTGTGGTGAATGTTGAATGATGAAAGTATTTTCTTTTTGGGGATTTTCTTTCTTTTTTTTGGGTTACCCTGCCTCGGTGGGAGACGGCCGACTTGTTGAAAAAAAAAAAGAAAAAAAAGTAATGTGTGTACTGTATGTACATGGTATAAACCTTGGTAATAAATACCGACAAGTTGGTTTAGAAAGACACGTAAGCAAACACTATAACATATTTATTAGAAAACGTTTCGGTCCTGGGACCTTGATCACTTCTAACATACAGTGTTCCTCCATTCTTATGTTCTTATGACATTCCTCAGGTCATGTGCGTCACACCTCACTCTCTGCCTATATATAATGTCTTTCTACCTCTGTATGTTAGAAGTGATCAAGGTCCCAGGACCGAAACGTTTTCTAATAAATATGTTATAGTGTTTGCTTACGTGTCTTTCTAAACCACTGTATGTACATACATATTTTAAGCCTAGCTCTATTGCTCACTTAATATATGATGGTGTAAACATGTTATAAAGTTTCTGTATGAATTTGAAAGTGATGACAAAGCTATACGTATTTCATTTTACAGTGATATGCATTTAAAAGTGAAAAAAAAGTATACTGTATTTCATTTTACAGCAATATTAGCTGTAAAATAAAATAGTCGTATACCTAACCTGCTGTATAAGCGGGGCTGCCTATATACGTATTTATTGTCCACCATGGAGAGATGGAAAAATATATGGCGCGGTGAAAATAGAATTTTGAGAACGCCGGGGCTCAAAAGGTCATTCAGTACTCTACTCCTCAGATAGTTGACAGTCATGTAATACAACACACTAAAACAGCAACACAAAATAGCTTAACACCATGCTAAACTAACAAGCAGAGTATAATAGATTTAAAATTAACAACCCCATCAGATCAACAAATGTATGGGAGGAGTGCAGAAGCCAAAGACAAGAGATAGCAGAGAGGCTGGAGGAAGAAATGGTGAAAGAATGAATGTAGGATGCTGAGTGTTGAATGATGGGAGAGGGAAGGATGTTGCAAGATTTATGCAGTACCTTGACCTATGACTCATACAGAACTTTTGACAGAAAAAAAAAATTACAGACATGTACACATTTTTGGTGTTCAGCAATTATCAGAAAATATTTTAGAGCTGCACATAAGGTACGATTTTATTTCACAAAACAAGAACAGTATTTACACGAAGAAGCTGGAGCAATATGCTGTATTTTTTCCAGCAAAAAAGTCTCATGAAACTTATGCACAAAAATGTCTACTATAATGGACATAAGAACAAAATTAACTGTACAATACTGTACTATATGATCACCTGGAGCATCAAACTGCAACAATAATACATTCCATAAAATGAATAGCAAAATACAGTGGACCCCCAGTTAATGATATTTTTTCATTCCAGAAGTATGTTCAGGTGCCAGTACTGACCGAATTTGTTCCCATAAGGAATATTGTGAAGTAGATTAGTCCATTTCAGACCCCCTAACATACACGTACAAACGCACTTACATAAATACACTTACATAATTGGTCGCATTGGGAGGTGATCGTTAAGCGGGGGTCCACTGTAATCAGTTTCAGCAGATACAATACCATACTGTACATCAAAACCCAATGAAAAAATAATCAAATTCTCATAGCACAGGACGATATACTTCCCAAATATACAGATAAAACGAGACACTCAGCTACTACAATCACAAACTATCCCAGGTACGTAAATAAAAAAACTAGATCACACTACATACGTTGCCATAAAGATTACGAAGGCACTGGCAACACCACCAGGTCCTTCACTGGTAACCTACCTACCTTGGGAGGAACCTTCTTCTCTAAACCCTGGCTCACAACCTGATGGTAACCAGGATAAAAGATTTGATATTAGAAAATCTAAGAACTTCACTTATCCTTTAATTTCAACTTTTAAGTAACACCCTTAGATGAACATAAGTGCCTCAGGAAGATGCAGTAATATTAATTAAGATATATGGAGAATACTTTTAGTAATCACCTTAAAAACTAATACAGCATAAAGATGCACTCATGCACATGCAGAGGTAATAAGCACTTACTCATCAAACACAAAATTATGGTCTGTAATGTAATTACTTACCATATTTGTGATTACTGTGCTATACCTAAATGTAATAGGAATTGAGCTATGCTTATGGTGTTCATGAGCATACACATTTTCTCCTAGAATTCATTAGTCATATATTGTTGGTTTAAAGACACCTGACTTATAAATTTATGGTTAAAATTAAATGGTTTAACCAGTCCAACATGGATCATTATCAAGTAACAAGTGAGAAAGAAAAGAGAAGAAAGCCAGGAGTGAGTCAGATCATGGCAAAGTGAGGTGAGGAGACAGTCAAGGTCAGGCCAAGCAACACAATGATACTGTAGCAAGAGCAGATCACAAATGTACTCTACAGCATGCAAAATACAGGATGCAAAAAAATTGGCAATATATCTGTCGACACCCAAAAATAATCTGCTAATTATGAAGTAATTGAATGATTAGTTGGCAGGATATCTGTAGTCTGGGCTACAACCACTGCCACCTAAATAACAAAGAGGAGCCCAGCAGAGTAGTGCTTGTATGTATCACTGCAGGATAACTAGGTAAATAAAATTCTTCCCCTGAAGCAAATAACAGGAAGTGTCATAATGTCTAGAAATTAACAATAAACAATAAGAAAAAGAACATGAAACCAGATCAGCTTCAGTACCAAGACACTTCTTTTAGAGTCAGTACCCCAGAGCATGGTAGGAATTCAACCATACACCAAGAACTTGGATACATCCAGTGGTGTGGCATGAAAAAATTGCTAGGGTAAGTGATGCTGTTAAATCTTATGATGAAAGTGAAATATGAAGTAATAAATATTTGTTTCAACTGATTCAATTAAAAAAATAGAAAGTAATAACATGAAATATTATTTACCGGATTTTACAAATATAAAATAGATGAAATTCTTCTCGAGTTTCTTGCAAGATAATCAGTAGCTTTGTTTATAAAGTTCTGGTTTTCTGTGAAGATTTTCAAATAATTCTTTTTCAACTGATAGAAGATAAAAGTTTTGCAGTTTTTCTCGACCATGAGAATTTCTGAAGATTTAATTCACTTCAAGCAAAGAAGCTCTGTGTCCAACCAGTGTTCTTTATAAACCCCCCTCCCCCCCCCCCCCAAAAAAAAGTTTCATTTTTTATCTGAATTCTTCTAACAAATTTTTCTAGTAGTAAATAAACCTGGTTTATTTAAGCAAAATGAAGGACTCAAATCCACTTCCTTTAAGAATCCCACTGCCTTCACAATAAAATCAAGGAAACTCTTATACAGTGGTCCCTCGCTTTTTGTAGTTCTCGGCAATCGTAAATTTCGCCAATCATAGGGGTATTTTCGTATAAACATGGACTCGCTTTTCATAGGTTGACTCGCGAATAGTAGTTCATCCAGGACGCTTACGGACGGTGTGAGCCAGGGAGGCCTCCCTACCCAGCCAGTCTGGCATTGTTTACCAGTGAGTGAAGGTCCCCTCAAGTGCTCCTACGAAATATTTCATAATATTCCACTCATTTTAGTGCTTGCAAGTACTAAATAAGCTACCATGGCTCCAAAGAAAGCTCCTAGTGCCAAGCCTGTGGTAAAGAAGGTGAGAAATATGTACAGTGACAAAGTCTTGGGCCATTTTAGGGAAGTGTTAAAGAGACGCCAGAAACAGAGCTCTCTCCACAGTTACTTTGCGAGACAGGACTAGTGACTCTCAAGGTGGTCCTAGTGGCATTAAGAAACAGAGAAGAGAAGCAACCCCAGAGAAGCAATTGGTACCTGAGGTGTTGCTGGAAGGGAATTCCCCTTCCAAACTGTAAACAATCCAATCTCTCTCCTCCTCCAGTCTCCCATACACTAAGAAGAATCTCCAATAAAGGTAAGTGTTATGCTGTTAATGTTTCATTCATCATTTCCCATTATATTGTTTATGTACTACATGTATATTTCATGTAAAAAATTTTTTTGTTTTAATACTTCTGAGTGTCAGAAACGGATTAATTGTATTTACATTATTTCTTATGGGGAAAATTGATTTGCAAATCGTAAATTTCGTTTATAGTAGCTCCTCCAGGAACAGATTAATTACGAAAAACGAGGGACCACTGTAGTTACACTTCAGTGATTGAAAAATGAGCTCTGAGAATTATTTATTATTCTTTTCACAGCATATTAAATTCATCTGAATCCTATTTACCAAACAAGGATTTGGGAAAAATTGAATTAATACAATTTAGATTAGTGGCTTTTCATCCTACATCTGGCAGTGGCACATTATAAATTATTTTATTCTACAAGATATCAGATGATGATTGTGCAAATCCATTGCTGCTTCCCTGTGACAGATTTCAAAAAAGTAAACATTTTTATCTTAACAAGTTTTGGAAGCCTGAACTTTTGTTACACAAAATAACAAAAATGCAGAATGTTAATTAAACATATTTTAATTCAGAATGGGAGAATTTTTTAAAGGGTACGTAATGTTTACTCTGATTCCTAGGAATACAAGCCACTGGATATATCTCAACACCACAAAGTACTGTACACCCGAGCATACACAATATTATATTTCACATAATCTGACCTTATCAGAGTCTCCATGCCACATGGCTACAACCTCTCCTCTGATAGCAGCCACAATGTAGGTGGGAATGAGAGTGAAGGGTACTAGATACAGCAGGGCTGGCTGGGCACCATTCAGCAGCCATAATGCAATGAATGTCACCACCAACCCAGTTCCATAACCTGTAAAAAAAAAAAAAATAGTTAATCAAAGACCAGATCATTTCATCCAGCATCACTTAGTGAGTAGCTGCTGCTGCCATGGCCTGCCATATGTCTAATGGCAAATCAACCCTCACATATGTCACAAGATACCACCATTTTGTTGTACTCCCATAGGTCCTGCACTAGTAAGCCAAGAAATTAATTGAATCCTCATGAAGAGAGATTTATTGCTAGCTTTGCTTTTGCACAGTGAACACCATGCCAAAAATTCACTTAAGGTATATTTCCTTATCTCCATGGGGAAGTGGAAAAGAATCCTTCCTCTGTAAGCCATGCATGTTGTGCTCTGTGACTAAAATGCCAGGAGCAACGGCCTAGTAACTGCTTCTCCAGTAAAAATTACTAAATATAAGAAGAAGAAAAGCTTTCATTTCTTTTTCGAGTCACCCTGCCTCGGTGGGAGATGACTGGTGTGCTAAAAAGAATATTTTTTTTTTTTCAACAAGTCCACCGTCTCCCACCAAGGCAGGGTGGCCCAAAAAGAAAGAAAATCCCCAAAAAGAAAATACTTTCATCATCATTCAACACTTTCACCTCACTCACATACAATCACTGCCTCTGCAGAGGCACCTAGATACAACAGTTTAGAAGCATATATATAAGATATATAACATATCCCTCTAAACTGCCAATATCCCAAAACCCTCCTTTAAAGTGCAGGCATTGTACTTCCCATTTCCAGTACTCAAGTCTGGCTATATAAAAATAACCAGTTTACCTGAATCCCTTCACTAAATATTACCCTACTCACACTCCAACAGCTCGTCATGTCCCAAAAACCATTCGTCTCCATTCACTCCTATCTATCACGCTCACGCACACTTGCTGGAAGTCCAAGCCCCTCGCCCAGAAAACCTCCTTTACCCCCTCCCTCCAACCTTTTTGAGGATGACCCCTACCCCGCTTTCCTTCCACTACAAATTTATACGCTCTCCAAGTCATTCTACTTTGATCCATTCTCTCTAAATGACCAAACCACCTCAACAACCCCTCTTCAGCCCTCTGACTAATACTTTTATTAACTCCACACCTTCTCCTAATTTTCACACTCCACATTCTCTACATAATATTTACACCACACATTGCCCTTAGACAGGACATCTCCACTGCCTCCAGCTGCCTCCTCGCTGCAGCATTTACAACCCAAGATTCACACCCATATAAGAGTTGGTACCACTATACGTTCATACATTCCTTTCTTTGCCTCCATGGATAACGTTTTTTGTCTCAATGCACCACTCATATTTTTTCCTTCATCAATTCTTTGATTAACCTCAACCTTCAAAAATCCATCCACTGACACATCAACTCCCAAATATCTGAAAACATTCACATCTTCCATACTCCCTGTTTCCAATGTGATATAAAATTTTTCTTTAACTAAATCATTTGATACTCTCATCACCTTACTCTTATCTATGTTCACTTTCAACTTTCTACCTTTACACACCCTCCACAAACTCGTCCACTAACCTTTGCAACTTTTCTTTAGAATCTCCCATAAGCACAGTATCATCAGCAAAAAGTAACTGTGTCAACTCCCATTTTGTACTTGATTCCCCATAATTTAATCCCACCCCTCTCCCCAACACCCTAGCATTTACTTCTTTCACAACCACATCTATAAATATATTAAACAACCATGGTGACATTACACATCCCTGTCTAAGACCTACTTTTACTGGGAAATAGTCTCCCTCTCTCCTACACACCCTAACCTGAGCCTCACTATCCTCGTAAAAACTTTTTACAGCATTTATTAACTTACTACCTATTCCATATACTTGCAACATCTGCCACATTGCTCCCCTATCCACTCTATCATATACCTTTTCTAAATCCATAAATGCAATAAAAACTTCCCTACCTTTATCTAAATACTGCTCTGTCTTACCTCTAATTTTTTCAATAATAACCCTACCGTACACTTTTCCTGGTATAATCAGTAAACTTATTCCTCTATAATTTTTACAATCTCTTTTGTCTCCCTTCCCTTTATATAAAGGGACTATACACGCTCTCTGCCAATCCCTAGGTACCTTCCCCTCTTTCATACATTTATTAAACAAAAATACCAACCACTCCAACACTATGTTCCCCCCTGTTTTTAACATTTCTGTCATGATCCTGTCAGTTCCAGCTGCCTTAACCCCCTTTCATTCTACGTAATGCCTCACGCACCTCCCCCACACTCACATCCTGCTCTTCTTCACTCCTAAAAGATGATATACCTCCCTGGCCAGTGCATGAAATTACCGCCTCCCTTTCTTCATCAACATTTAACCCTTTGACTGTCGCAGGCCCCTTTCTGAAACTGTCATTCTATGTCCATAAATTTTTGGAAAAAAAAAAAAAATTATTTTTTCTTATGAAATGATAATCTTTTCCCGATGGTGATGACACCAAAAGTACGAAATTTGGTCAAAACTCACGGAATTACACTTCCGCGAAGTTAGCAGTCTCGGCAACATACACGTATCGGCGATTTTGCTGACTTTGAGCCCTGCTTTTGGCCAATTTTGTTGTTCTAGTTGACCAAACTCTAAGCAATTTCTTTAGAACTCCATTTTTTCTATATGTTGAATATAAGAAACTGCCCATTTACCGATTTGAACTACCCAATAAAGTGGTCAGAAATTGGCAATTTGGCCAATTTCAAACAAATTAAAAAAGATGCCAATTTCAAAATAGGGTCCAGAATAAACAATGTAGACATTCTTGGCACTAAAATAACATATCCTCTGTTCATTAGTCATGTCTCTAGGCCCTCTTATATTACTATTGCTTTCTATTTTGATTTTTTATTCATACAAAAAAATACAAAATTTACTGTTATGCATTATTGTAAAAATGGTATAAATAATGTCAGTGCACTAGTGAAAGAATATTAGATTTCCCAGTTGAAGTGTATTGGACGTGTGGTGTCATTTGCTTACTCCTGAACATTGGTAAAAATCGAACATTTCTGCTATTTTGAGCTCAATTTCAAGGTCATTTTCATCATGAAAGTAATCAAAATCATCTCTATTTCTGTAATATGTTTTGCATTTTATCACCTGAGACCATGAAAACGAGAATACAACGATAAGTACTATATGAAAATACATCTCAAAGTCGGCGTTTTAATCCAAAACAATGGTCAGAGCTTTTTTTTCTAATTACGCACTGCGTGCTGCAGGATTTTTTTAATGTGGTGCACACTGATCACAAAGACACATTCTCTCACATGTGGGCCTACCAGCTTTCTCCTACTTGATTTGAAGCCGCTAGAATTTACGCGTATATGTCAGAAACAGTGGTGCGTAAGACGTACATATACGACTGAAACAGTCAAAGGGTTAAAGGTTCCTCAAAATATTCTCGCCATCTACCCAAAACCTCCATCTCCCCATCTACTAACTCCCCTACTGTTTTTAACTGACAAATCCATTCGTTCTCTAGGTTTTCTTAACTTGTTTAACTCACTCCAAAATTTTTTCTTATTTTACTTATTTTTTTTTTTCAACAAGTCAGCCATCTCAATAATACTGTTCCAAATTCAATCAGTTGTGTAAATACATGTATGAAGTCCATTACCAATATAACTTGTTCAGCAAATACAAATGTTGGGACCCAGTCCCTGAAACAATTATGTATCTGTACTCCTCTGACTGCTACCCACACGATAGGTATGAGAAGCATAATAAAGATGTTAAAACTAAACATCAATGATAAATGTTCCAATTATTTTGTGAGAGTGGAGAGACCATGATGAAAAAGTACAACTGGAAACAGAATATTAAAATAACCCCCAAATATAAGAAAAGGAATGTCTTCAACATGATGAACTGAGGGTGGTAATTAATATCCCATAGGAGTCATACAGCACCTTGGGAAAGGGAAGCAACTACTTTGATCCAAGGAATGGGAGGGTAGCTCCAATTCCTTGTATCAACAATCTTTCAAGACACCCACCTTTAAAGGTATGAAGGTAATGAGCAGGTAGAATATTGTATTCATCAGTCAAAAAATGGAACTAAACATGATCCAGTATATTACACTGGAGGTGGTGGTGGAAGCAAGGTCCTGCAGGTGGTCCCTAACTACCCATCGTGATTGCTATGGTGGCCTGTATGCTGCTGGTCATAATAGCCTGACTGATCAGGCAATAACCAAAAGATTCTAACCACAGGTCAAGCAGTGGGAGCAGAAAAACTTTTGAAACAAATAAGAGGCATACCATAGATATGTTATAAATATATCATGATTTACGGGTTGAGATGCAGGGCCAGGAGCTAAGATCTGAATCTTGGAAACAAAACTAGGTGATAAAGACAAGCGCGTGCATGTGCATGCACACACACACACATGCACACACACACACAAACAGGCAGGCACACTCACACAGACACAAATCTAGTCATGGAGAGATGGCAAGCTGGGTGTCGTGGTTAAGTCATTAAGAGTGTGTCACTGGTATGTTGGGCAGATTAGCAAGATGTCTCTTGCTAGCTGCACCTCCCTTTTAGTTTGCTCAGAGAATCACAAGTCCTCTTACAAGCTTCTGCTCAACCCAGATTATGTTTTATAATAGTCACAGAAAATATGTCAAACTTATAAGATTCGTACAGCTCTGTACTGTGACGGGTGGTGATGCCAAGGAAAAAAGATGTGAAGGGAGGACTCAAGTGCTAACCCAAAGTATGAAGAATTATTTTGTGCATGTAGCACAGTCCACACATAGGAATATGTTCTTCCTTTCTTTACCCCCCCCCCCCCAGGCAAAAGTTGCAGCAACTCCTTACTGCCCTACTCTTCTCCTGGCCTCCCATATCCTCCTATACCTCTACTTCCTTCCTAGACCTTGCCTCCCCTTTTTTCCCAGCTCCTCCTTCCTTCCCAATTGCTACCCCTCTCCTTCCTTGCCAGATCTCTCCTTCCCTCTCATGTCATTATTATTTCCTAGCTCCTAGACCTCTTCCCCTCCCAGCTTAATTATACATCTCACAGCACCATACTATCTACTAATTTCTTCACTCCTTATTATCCACAAAATATGTACATCACATGTTGATATTTGTCATGACATTTCCACTTTTTGCCAACAAACTCCTTGCTACAACCTTCAAAAATACCTATGATCAGTGTCAAGAGTTCTTATTATTTTTTAGGGAAGCACTCAAACTATGGGGATCATGCAGTTCCTGGGGTAATGGGAGGCAATCAGATTTGATCTAAGGAAGGAGAAAACAGGTCTAATTCCTTGCATCAAGAGCCCCTTACCAGCATCAAGGAATCTCCCTTTCATGGGTTCTTACAGTTTCATAGTCTGGCATTTCTGCTTGACTGGATGGTCAATCAGGCTGTTGCTGCAAGCATCCTATAGGCCTATTTAGCCATCACAACCTAGCTGACCTGGCACTTTCACCAGATATAGTCCAGTTTCATATTTTATACCTATACAAAACCCTTTACACTACTTTTCTCTGAAACATTTCCCTTTTATTATACCCGCTGAAAAATTTGTCTTTCCACATATTCCACACTTCTGCAATTTTCTTTCCCTCCTCTATTCTGTGATTCACATCTTCCTTCCTGCACCCATCTATCAAAGCATTCACTCCTGAATATTAAAATGCACACACTACCTACATAATCATTCCTTCCATTCTGACCCACAATCTTCCATTCCATTCCACTTATTCTTTTACACAACTTCTCCTTTAGTCCTAACAATGCACTGCCATTAAAGTCAACAGCAACAAGAATTTGTACATTTTATAATTCATAATTGAAAACTTATTACTGGTTGTACAAGGCAAACATCAATGTAAACAAAAGAAAAAGTGTCATTTGCAACTGAAAATTTGGCCTATGTATTAAATGCTATTGAAGGTTCCATGGTTCACTGCCTAGCAGCTAGGTCACACAATCATGTGGAAATTAATACACTAGATTTAAAGAAATTTAAATTGGAGGGAGGGGGTAAAGGAGGTTTTGTGGGCGAGGGGCTTGGACTTCCAGCAAGCGTGCATGAGCGTGTTAGACAGGAGTGAATGGAGACAAATGGTATTTGGGACCTGACGAGCTGTTGGAGTGTGAGCAGGGTAATATTTAATGAAGGGATTCAGGGAAACCGGTTATTTTTACATAGCCGGACTTGAGTCCTGGAAATGGGAAGTACAATGCCTGTACTTTAAAGGAGGGGTTTGGGATATTGGCAGTTTGGAGGGATATGTTGTGTATCTTTATATGTATATGTTTCTAAACTGTTGTATTCTGAGCACCTCTGCAAAAACAGTGATTATGTGTGAGTGAGGTGAAAGTGTTGAATGATGATGAAAGTATTTTCTTTTTGGGGATTTTCTTTCTTTTTGGGCCACCCTGCCTCGGTAGTATGGTTTGTTTGCAATCATGCCATTACTACAGGGAGGGATTGAACTAATAATCACAAAGCACACATTTTATTGCACAACACATTCCTTCAGGGTAAAATTAAGGAAACATTCAAAGCTCATTAATTCAACTAGTGTTTACATTACACTCACCAATCACATTCACCAGATAATAAAGATGACATGGCGTGCCAATTTGCAGATCAAACGAGTGGACAAATGACACTAGAAGACCTGGGATAAGGATATCACCAAAGCCAAGAAGGTTGTAATTATCAGTTATATGACAAATGTTGGAAATCTCAAGGAAGGCAAAGTTGGGCACCTTGAGTACCATGGGCAGCTGTTCTTGGCTTGTCCCACCCTTGGCAACTTCTACCATAATGCTCTTCCCATCCTGAAAGTAAGACAAAGAAAAAGGAAAAGCTTATAATGGGATCTATCAAACAATACAATGTATATATATACAGTGGAACCTCTACTTATGAGTTTAATCCATTCTGTGACCTTGCTCGCATCTGGATTTGCTTGTTTGCAGTCAATTTTCCTTATTTAAATTAATTGAAATGGAATTAATCCGTTCTAGTGGAATTCCAGGCACGACAAAATACTTCAATAATTTCCTTAATATCAACTCTATGGCTTACTTATCTATCACAATTCATCTTCTTTCTTTCTTTCAACACACCGGCCATATCCCACCGAGGCGGGGTGGCCCAAAAGGAAAAACAAAAGTTTCTCCTTTTCTTTCTTCTTTCTTTCAACACACCGGCCGTATCCCACCAAGGCAGGGTGGCCCAAAAAGAAAAACGAAAGTTTCTCTTAAAATTAGTAATTTATACGGGAGAAGGGGTTACTAGCCCCTTGCTCCTGGCATTTTAGTCGACTCTTACAACACGCATGGCTTACGGAGGAAGAATTCTGATCCACTTCCCAATGGAGATAATAGGAAATAGACAAGAACAAGAACTAGAAAGAAAAAAGAAGAAAACGCAGAGGGGTATGTATATATATATGCTTGCACATGTATGTGTAGTGTGACCTAAGTGTAAGTACAAGTAGCAAGACGTACCTGAAATCTTGCATGTTTATGAAACAGAAAAAAGGACACCAGCAATCCTACCATCATGTAAAACAATTACAGGATTTCATTTTACACTCACTTGGCAGGACGGTAGTACCTCCCTGGGCGGTTGCTGTCTACCAACCTACTACCTAGGACAATTCATCTAATATGACATAATAAAAAATATTAATAACAGAAACACAATATATACATTAGAATGAATAAAATACATGTCATTACGTATGTGGCTAGTGGTGGTGACAACGGCCATTGTTGTTGTTGTTGGGGTTTATAAGGCCACCACAGCAGTCATTCCTGCTCCTGACTACATGTGTAGAGAACCTAAGATAACCCAAAAAAAGTCACATGCTGCTGCTTCATGTTGTCTTCCACTGCTGCTTCATGTTGTCTGCCACTGCTGCTTCATGTTGTCTGCCACTGCTGCTACATGTTGCCTGCCACTGCTGCTTCATGCTGTTTGCCACTGCTGCTTCATTATGTCTGCCACTGTTGCTTCATGATGTCTGCCACTGCTATCTCATGATGTCTGCCACTGTTGCTTCATGATGTCTGCCACTGCTACCTCATGATGTCTGCTCCCACTTTTGCTAGTGTGTTGAAGAGCTTTCCAATATGTGAAGGTTGAGGGGCAGTGCCAATCGGACAGATACTGGATGGTGACGTCATTTGTTTACTCTTGAACATTTCTGCTATTTTGAGCTCAATTTCAAGGTATATACTTTTCATCGTGAAACCAATCAAAATCATATCTATTTATGTAGTACGTCTTCCATTCTATCAAATGAGACCAAAAAACGAGAATACAACCATAAAAAACATATGAAAATATACCGCTAAGGAGAGGCTAGTGACTGAGAAGTGAACTCCATTATTTAGGGTCCAATTTCTTTCATTTTTGGTGTACATTAAGAAGCACTTTTCCATCATACATTGCCCAAGTTTCAATAAGATAGTCCAAGAAACAACTGAAATCCAGTTCCCTAGATGAAGAGCAAGAGTCCCTCACCAGTGTCAAGAAATCTCGAGGCCCGCTCGCATCTGGAAGCAAAAAACCGGCCGAGCGGCTGCTCGTACCTGGAAAAACTCGCATGTGGATGCACTCATAAGCAGAGGTTCAACTGTAGTATATCTGATTACAAGACAGTCATTTTTGCTCATTTGTGGATGCAGCAGACAAAAAAACCTCTAACATACTGAAGGTACTGATCATGTAATCTTAAAATACTTTTTCCATTTTAAAGACTAAGATATAAGAAATTAGCTAAAATAATATGAATGTCTCAAGACACCTGCAATTCTATTCTATGTGATATTTAAGTTTTAATATCTCTTACTCTTCAACAAATCTTTTTAGGTTAGTGAAGCATAACCTCCAGTAAACTGACAGTAAAGAACATTCAGTATATACCATATAATATTCACTTACAGATGTAATGAATGGGGTGATGAAGACGAAGAAGATATCATATATAACAAGCCCACAGAGCAGGATGGTGCAGATCTTAAGGCTTGGTAACCGAAGCACCCTAAGTACATTGATACTGAAAATAATATAGTATTTAGTTAATCTTAATGCACCAATGAGTAAACTTGTCAATGTTAATTTTTAGTTTAGGTATAGTATCATGATCTAGCAAGCAAGTGAATAAAGGAAAGATAAGATTAATTGTTAATAAATATGAATTCAATTTCTAAGTCATTTTTCTGTCAACTTCAATTCTGAGGACATTATTTGTAGAGCTAGGTTAGTGGACATTATTGCAACATTGGTTAATTTAAGTAAACACTCACACCATCTAATTTATTTCCTTAAGTGCACCCATCACTATATGCCACTTAGTGTTCACTACATGTAAAGGAGCATCAACATGACAAAATTTACGAAAGATGACAGATCTGAGAAGGTATCAATATTGAGCATAGCCATCCTATAAAATTTAAATTTTAACTATTCCACATGACAAACAATGTAGGGCAATTCAGTAGTAAAGGTTCATATTCAAAATATTTCAATACAATAAATGCTAAATTAGATTTTATCCCAACCAAATCAAACTTAATTAATATGATTAATGAGTAAAAAAAAAAGTTGATGCACATATGCAAATTTACCTGAATGCAATTCCTAAAATATCTTGGAGAATCCAAGCCCATGGCTCCTTTCTCATCACGACCCACACAATGCTCAGCCCAAAGGAGAATATCAACAAGAGGATCTGGCGAACTTCTAGAGTTCCACGGACAACATAGATGTTGAAGTATGGTGTTCTGAGTTCAAACAAAATTAAGAAAATATTTTAATTTCTGTGCAAATATTCATGGAAAAAACAGTCAAGTTCATTGTGTTGATTTTTTTTTTCAACAAATTGGCAGTCTCTCACCGAGGCAGGGTGACCCAAAAAGAAAGAAAAAATCCCCAAAAAGAAAATACTTTCATTATCATTCAACACTTTCACCTCACTCACACATAATCACTCTCTTGGCAGAGGTGCCCAGATACAACAGATTAGAAGCATATATAAATATATAGGTTGGTAGACAGCAACCACCCAGGGAAGTACTACTGTCCTGCCAGATGACTGTGAAACAGAAACCTGTAACTGTTTTACATGATGGTAGGATTGCTGGTGTCTTTTTCTGTCTCATAAACATGCTAGATAACAGGGATATCTTGCTACTCCAACTTACATTTGGTCACACTTCACAGACACGCAACATGCATATATATATATATGTATATAAAATATTTTATAAATAATATATAATATAAAAATATATATAATATAAATATATATATATATATATATAAAAAATATATAATTTATAAAATATATATATATATATTATATATATATATATTATAAATTTAAATATATATATATATTTAATATATATATATTATATATTTAAATATATATATATATAATATATATATAAAATAAAATAAAAATTTTATATTTTAAATATTATTAATTATAAAATATTTATATAGTATATAATATAAAATAAATTATATATAAAAATATATATATAATTATATATATTTTTTTTTTTTTTTCAACAAGTCGGCCGTCTCCCACCGAGGCAGGGTGACCCAAAAAAAAGAAAGAAATCCCCAAAAAGAAAATACTTCATCATCATTCAACACTTTCACCCCCACTCACACATTATCACTGTTTTTGGGCAGAGGTGCTCGGGAATACAACAGTTTGAAGCATATACGTATAGAGATACACAACATATCCCTCCAACTGCCAATATCCCAAACCCCTCCTTTAAAGTGCAGGCATTGTACTTCCCATTTCCAGGACTCAAGTCCGACTATATGAAAATAACCGGTTTCCCTGAATCCCTTCACTAAATATTACCCTGCTCACACTCCAACAGATCGTCAGGTCCCAAGTATCATTCGTCTCCATTCACTCCTATCTAACACGCTCATGCACGCTTGCTGGAAGTCCAAGCCCTCACCCACAAAACCTCCTTTACCCCTCTTTCCAACCTTTCGAGGACGACCCCTACCCCTCTTCCTTCCCCTATAGATTTATATGCTTTCCATGTCATTCTACTTTGATCCATTCTCTCTAAATGACCAAACCACCTCAACAACCCTCTTCTGCCCTCTGACTAATGCTTTTATTAACTCCACACCTTCTCCTAATTTCCACACTCCGAATTTTCTGCATAATATTTACACCACACATTGCCCTTAGACAGGACATCTCCACTGCCTCCAACCGTCTCCTCGCTGCTGCATTTACCACCCAAGCTTCACATCCATATAAGAGTGTTGGTAACTACTATACTTTCATACATTCCCTTCTTTGCCTCCATAGATAACGTTTTTTGACTCCACATATACCTCAACGCACCACTCACCTTTTTCCCTCATCAATTCTATGATTAACCTCATCCTTCATAAATCCATCCGCCGACACGTCAACTCCCAAGTATCTGAAAACATTCACTTCTTCCATACTCCTCCTCCCCAATTTGATATCCAATTTTTCTTTATCTAAATCATTTGATACCCTCATCACCTTACTCTTTTCTATGTTCACTTTCAACTTTCTACCTTTACACACATTCTCAAACTCATCCACTAACCTTTGTAATTTTTCTTTAGAATCTCCCATAAGCACAGTATCATCAGCAAAAGTAACTGTGTCAATTCCCATTTTGAATTTGATTCCCATAATTTAATCCCACCCCTCTCCAACACCCTAGCATTTACTTCTTTTACAACCCATCTATAAATATATTAAACAACCATGGTGACATTACACATCCCTGTCTAAGACTACTTTTACCGGGAAGTATTCTCCCTCTCTTCTACACACCCTAACCTGAGCCTCACTATCCTCATAAAAGCTCTTTACAGCATTTAGTAACTTACCACCTATTCCATATACTTGCAACATCTGCCACATTGCTCCTCTATCCACTCTATCATATGCCTTTTCTAAATCCATAAATGCAATAAAAACTTCCCTACCTTTATCTAAATACTGTTCACATATATGTTTCAATGTAAACACTTGATCTACACATCCCCTACCCACTCTGAAGCCTCCTTGCTCGTCCGCAATTCTACATTCTGTCTTACCTCTAATTCTTTCAATTATAACCCTACCGTATACTTTTCCTGGTATACTCAGTAAACTTATTCCTCTATAATTTTTACAATCTCTTTTGTCCCCTTTCCCTTTATATAAAGGGACTATACATGCTCTCTGCCAATCCCTAGGTACCTTCCCCTCTTCATACATTTATTAAACAAAAGTACCAACCCTCCAACACTATATCCCCCCCTGCTTTTAACATTTCTGTCATGATCCCATCAGTTCAGTGCTTTAACCCCCTTTCATTCTACGTAATGCCTCACGTACCTCCACCACACTTACATTCTGCTCTTCTTCACTCCTAAAAGATGTATACCTCCCTGGCCAGTACATGAAATTACCGCCTCCCTTTCTTCCTTAACATTTAAAAGTTCCTCAAAATATTCTCGCCATCTACCTAATACCTCCTCTCCCCATCTATCAACTCCCCTACTCTGTTTTTAACTGACAAATCCATACTTTCCCTAGGCTTTCTTAACTTGTTTAACTCACTCCAAAATTTTTCTTATTTTTCATTAAATTTCTTGACAGTGCCTCTCCCACTCTTTCATCAGCTCTCCTTTTGCACTCTCTCACCACTCTCTTCACCTTTCTTTTACTCTCCATATACTCTGCTCTTCTTATAACATTTCTGCTTTGTAAAAACCTCTCGTAAGCTACCTTTTTCTCTTTTATCACACCCTTTACTTCATCATTCCACCAATCACTCCTCTTTCCTCCTGCCCCCACCCTCCTATAACCACAAACTTCTGCCCCACATTCTAATACTGCATTTTTAAAACTATTCCAACCCTCTTCAACCCCCCCACTACTCATCTTTGCACTAGCCCACCTTTCTGCCAATAGTCGCTTATATCTCACCCGAACTTCCTCCTCCCTTAGTTTATACACTTTCACCTCCCTCTTACTTGGTGTTGCCACCTTCCTCTTTACTCTAACTGTAGCTACAACTAAATAATGATCCGATATATCAGTTGCCCCTCTATAAACATGTACATCCTGGAGCCTACCCATCAACCTTTTATCCACCAATACATAATCTAACAAACTACTTTCATTACGTGCTACATCATACCTTGTATATTTATTTATCCTCTTTTTCATAAAATATGTATTACTTATTACCAAATTTCTTTCTACACATAGCTCAATTAAAGGCTCCCTATTTACATTTACCCATGGCACCCCAAAATTACCTACTACTCCCTCTATAACATTTTTACCCACTTTAGCATTGAAATCCCCAACCACCATTACTCTCACACTTGATTCAAAACTCCCCACGCATTCACTCAACATTTCCCAGAATCTCTCTCTCTCCTCTACACTTCTCTCTTCTCCAGGTGCATACACGCTTACTATAACCCACTTTTCACATCCAATCTTTATTTTACTCCACATAATCCTTGAATTTATACATTTGTAGTCCCTCTTTTCCTGCCATAGCTTATCCTTCAACATTATTGCTACTCCTTCTTTAGCACAGGACAAGCTTCCACCCTCTGCAGGGGTATACATAATCCCTTGTAATGACTGCAACAAATTATACGTGGGCGAAACATCAAGGGACCTCCAAACATGTATTTCAGAACACCAGTACGCAAGCAGGTCTGACGACACAAGGAATGCCTGTGTACAACACCGTAATTCACACAACCACTTGATAAACTACAGAAACTCGAGACTTATCGCCACAGAAGACAACACTCAATACCGAAGAATCCTGGAATGATCACTTATTTCGATATCCGACAACTTCAACCAGAATAGTGGCTTCTATAACATAGCTGAACCACTTGCCAAGAAACTTCTTCATCGCTATCCCACATAAGAACACAGGAATGGAAGAACACTGTAGAAGGTCTGCTCACAAACTTATCCAACCTCCTTTCCAAGCTACCCAAGATTTTAGACTCTATAACCCACTCGGTACATCATCAGATGCAGCATTCTCCACCTGACCTCAGCATTCTGAACCTGACTATAAATACTCGCGTCCCTTCCACCCCAGGTAGATCTGTTTGTGACTTGAAAACGCCTACTGTGTGGGCGAAACGTAGTCAATAAAGGATCACATTATACTGCATATGTGTTTACATTTCCATTGTGTTGGTATTTTATACCATTTATTTCCATGATCTCTCCACACATGCATAAAATGAACATACACAAACTATCAATGTATCTGATAAAAAAACTGAGAAAAAATAAAATTTGAGTCTTTTGTCCATAAGTAATTAAATGGTTCCAAAGTGCTACATACAAGAGGGGGCCCCCCCCCTCTTTTCAGTGTCTTATTTTATTGGTGGTTTTCAACTAAGCCACTGTTCATTACATTAAGTGCTTTTTCCACTTTTCCATTTTCGTGCAACAGTTGTATTAGGGAAGGGCAACCAGCACCATATTTTAAGTACAGTGGACCCCGGGATAACATAGTCGTCGTATTTCGTAACATTCAGTAATCCTAACGCTTTCTCGTCAAAATATTGCCTTGGTGATCGTCATTTACCTCGGTAATAGTTGTTCGTCCCAAACGCGTACGTGCGACCCTGAGTGGCCCCGAGTGGCCCCCACACACCATCCACAGTCAGTCTGCCATTGTTTATCATTGAGTGACCCTCACCCCACGCGTTCATATGATACATTTCAAAATACAGTGGTACCTCGGGATACAAACAGCTCAAAACTCGACCAATAATGTAAGTATATTTATGTAAGTGCTTTTGTAAGTGTATTTTTGGGGGTCTGGAACAGATTAATTGGAACAAATTCATTCTGTATTGGCACTCGAACTGCCTTCTGGAACGAATTAATTTCGTATCCCAAGGTACCACTGTATTCCATTCTTTTCGTGCTTGCAACTGCTAAATAGGCCACCATGGGCCCAAAGAAAGCTTCTAGTGCCAGCCCTTTGGTAAGAAAGGTGAGAAACACTATAGAATTCAAGAAAGACATCATTGCAAACTATGAAAGTGGAGTACGTGTGGCCGAGTTTGCCAGGTTGTATAAGAAACCCCATACAACCATTGCTTCCATTGTGGCCAAGCAAAAGGAAATCAAGGAAGCTGTTGTAGCGAAATGTGCTAATATGCTCACAAAACATAGATTGCAGATACTCGAAGATGTGTTGACTTTGTTGTTGATGTGGATCAACCAAAAACAGTTAGCAGGAGATACCGCTATGCAGTCGATCATCTGTGAAAAGGCAAGGCAGCTGCATGATGATCTCAAAGAAAATGCCTGGAACTAGTGCTGATGTTAGTGAATTTAAGGCCAGCAAAGGCTGGTTTGAGAGATTTAAGAAGCATAGTGGCATACACAGTGTCATAAGGCATGGCGAGGCTGCAAGTTCTGACAAATATGCAACTGAAAAATATGCTCAGGAATTCAAGGGGTACATAGAGGCTGTACAATTCAAACCCCAACAAGTGTTCAATTGTGACAAAACAGGCCTCTTTTGGAAGAAAATGCCAAAGAGGGCCTACATCATGCAGGAGGAAAAGGCACTCCCAGGACACAAGCCTATGAAAGAGAGGCTAACTCTCATGTTCTGTAGTAATGCTAGTGGGGATTTCAAAGTGAAGCCTTTGCTGGCGTATCACTCTGAAAATCCCAGAGTGTTCAAGAAAAACAGTGTCGCCAAGAGTAAACCGTGTGTGATGCATAAGACAAATAGTGAGGCATGAGTCATGAGGGAAATATTCCTTGATTGGTTCAATGAAGTGTTTGGCCCAAGTGTGAAGAAATACCTCCTGGAAAATAAATTGGAACTCAAGTGCCTCCTGGTAATGCACAGTGCTCCTGCTCATCCTCCAGACTTGGATGACCAAATTGTGGAGGAGTTTCGTTTCATCACAGTGAAGTTCTTGCCCCCTAATACCACTCCTCTCATCCAGCCCATGGACCAGCAGATCATTTCAAACTTCAAAAAACTCTACACCAAAGCAATGTTTCAAAGGTGCTTTGACATTACCTCAGACACTGAATTGGCCCTAAGAGAGCTCCAGAAAGATCACTTCAGTATCCTCCATTGCATAAACCTTATAGGTAAGGTTTGGGAGGGAGTGACTTCCAGGACTTTGAAATCTGCTTGGAGAAAACTGTGGCTAGAATGTGTCCAAGAGAGGGATTTTGAAGGGCTTGGGGCTGACCCTGACAAGCCTATGGCAGTTGTGGAAAGTATTGTGGCATTGGGGAATTCCATGGGGTTGGATGTGAGTGGCAAGAATGTGGAAGAGTTGGTGGGGGACCACAATGAAGAGCTAACCACCGAAGAGCTGCAAGGCCTTCATCTGCAACAGCAACAGACCACAGCTCAGGAAATTGCTTCAGAGGAAGAGGAAGAGAGATGGAAGAAGGTGCCTTCTTCAAAGATTAAGGACATTTGTGCAAAGTGGTGTGAGGTGCAAACATTTATGGATGAACATCACCCTGAAAAAGCTGTTGCAGGCCATGTTAGCAACATGTACAATGACAATGCTGTGTCCCATTTTAGGGAAATTTTAAAGAAACATCAGAAACAGAGTTCTCTGGACCATTTTTTTTGAGAGACAAGGGTCCAGTGACTCTCAAACTAGTCCTAGTGGCATTAAAAAACAAAGAAGGGAAGTGACCCCAGAAAAGGGCTTGGTACCTGAAGTCTTTATTGGAAGGGGATTCCCCGTCCAAACAACAGTAACTCCTCCATCCTCTCCCCTCTTCCATACATCAACAAGTCTTCAATAAAGGTAAGTGTCATGTTATTGTTTTATTCTTCATGTCTCATTGTTTTCTGTGTAGGTAAATGTATATTTCAGGTAAAAAACTTATTATTTTTTTTAATACTTCTGGGTGTCCGGAATGGATTAATTAGATTTACATTATTTCTTATGTGGGAAATGAATTCGGATATCGTCAAATTCGGTTTTAGTCACACTCTCTGGAACAGATTAATTGTGATAACCAGGGGTCCACTTTACTATATGCACTATGTATTTATTTTACTTTTGTATCTTTTTTTATGCCTAACTGTATTGAGCACTTACATTATGATAGTGTAAACACATTATGAGGCATTTTAGACACATCTGATGTTGAAAAAATGCTCTTTTCTACTCGCTGGCAATTTCTGTTTATAGGTGGGGTCGGGAACCTAACAGCCGTAAAAATGGGGCGCTCCTGTAGTAAGTGCAAATCATCATCTGTCAGCACCCAACACTTTAAAGGAGAGGTGGAAATGCTATATTTCAGAGGGTCATTTGAATAGTGATCTTTGTGCACTTCTGGGAAGACAGCTATCGAATGAATGATGGTGAAGATTTCCTGTTTCTTAGTGGTCTCCCTAACAAATGCACATCTTCTTTCCTCAGGAAGAGAATGGATTTCACAAGTAATCGCTGCTATTTAGTAAATTTTTATTTCTACTTCTTTGTATGTTTATAAATAAATGACTAAAATAATTCCACAAGATCATACTTTGTATTTTTTTACATTTACTGAAACCCTGGTTACACCATTTAAAAGGAAGAGGAATAAAAAAAAAGTAGAAAGAAAGCAAAATGTCTTTGCTATTCTTAGATAGAGTGAATAGAGTAGATAGGAGTGAATGGAGACGAATGGTACTTGGGACCTGACGATCTGTTGGAGTGTGAGCAGGGTAATATTTAGTGAAGGGATTCAGGGAAGCCGGTTATTTTCATATAGTCGGACTTGAGTCCTGGAAATGGGAAGTACAATGCCTGCACTTTAAAGGAGGGGTTTGGGATATTGGCAGTTTGGAGGGATATGTTGTGTATCTTTATACGTATATGCTTCTAAACTGTTATATTCTGAGCACCTCTGCAAAAACAGTGATAATGTGTGAGTGTGGTGAAAGTGTTGAATGATGATGAAAGTATTTTCTTTTTGGGGATTTTCTTTCTTTTTTGGGTCACCCTGCCTCGGTGGGAGACGGCCGACTTGTTGAAAAAAAAAAAAATGTACCAATATATTAAAATATACATGTGAGCTAGGAACGAGTGTGCTGATGACTTACCTGCAAGTTGCACAGGGGATTCGTGAGATGAGAGGCTGCAAACAACAGAACACTGCTGAACCTGATGCAATGCAGAACATGCCGATGATCACAAACACTGAAAAAAAAAGCTTAAATTATGCATGTAGTTAAGGATAAAAATGAAAATAAAATATGAGCAACGCAGTATATGACTGGTGTCTTACTTCAAAATCAATTCTCTACGTAAGAGAATCATTTCCTTAGTGTTTTCAAGAAGAGCCTATTTCACAAAATTAAGGAATAATACATCCCTGAAATATTTTGATGAAAAGTTATAGAGGTTTGTGCAGGAATTTAAGGAGTGTAAAAGAAGGAACATAAGAGTAACAAAAAGTTTAGGCAATTAAATATTGGATATCAGAATGGAGGGAGGGAATATGGAGGAAGTGAATGTATTTAGATATTATGGGGTAGAAGTGTCAGCAAAAGGGCCTATACCTTTGATATACCTTTGAAGAGTTTCGGGAGTTTCACTACTCTCGGAGTCTGGCCATGGGCCAGGCTCGTCTGGTGCTTGCCTAGTCAGCCAGGCTGATGCTGTTGGAGGCCTGCTGCCCCACATATCCATCACAGCCTGGATGATCTGGCACCTGGTGAAGATACTTGTCCAGTTTCCTCTTGAAGGCTTCTACACTTGTTCCAGCCGTGTTTCTGATATCTTCTGGTAAGATGTTAAATAGTCTGGGACCCTGAATGTTGATATAGTGTTCCCTTATTGTCCCCACCACACCCTTGCTCTTTACTGGGTTTATTTTGCACTTCTTCCCATATCTCTCACTCCAGTATGTTGTTATGGCAGTGTGCAGATTTGGGACCAGGCCCTCAAGTACTTTCCAGGTATATATTATCATGTATCTCTCCCTCCTCCACTCCAATAAGTACATGTTCAAGACTTTGGGGCATTTCCAGTAATTTAGGTGCTTTCCTGGCTCAATGTGAGCCGTAAACAATCTTTGTATTTGTTCCAGCTCTGGCATTTCTCCTGCTTTGAATGGGACCATCAGCACTGAGCAATATTCTAAATGAGGAAGCACAAGCAATTTGAAGTGTGTCACCATTGGCATTATTTCCCTTGTTTTGAAAGTTCTCAATGCCCACCCCCTCATCCTCCTGGCTGTGAACCAGAGAATATATGAAGATATTGGCAGTTTGGAGGGATGTGTTGTGTATCTCTATACGTATATGCTTCTAAACTGTTGTATTCTGAGCACCTCTGCAAAAGCAGTGATAATGTGTGAGTGTGGTGAAAGTGTTGAATGATGATGAAAGTATTTTCTTTTTGGGGATTTTCTTTCTTTTTTTTGGGTCACCCTGCCTCGGTGGGAGACGACCGACTTGTTGAAAAAAAAAAAAAAAAAGGTGGTGAGTTAGAACATCTGTGGAAAGAGTTTATCTTTGGAGACAAAAGGAATAAAAGTACCAGAATATAGTGTACTACCACTTTTACTTGGTCTTGAAACATTGCAGTGAGGAGGAGGCTGGAGGCAGTGAGGATGTCATATTTGAGAGCAATGTGTAGTGTGAATATTATGGAGATAATTAGGAGCACAGAATTTGATGCCTGTTTACAAAAGGTACAATTCAGATGGTGAAATAGTAATTGCTGAGATGGTTTGGTCATTTAGAAAGGATGAAGCAGCGTAAGATGACAAAAAGGGTGTAAATCCTGAGTGGAAGGAATAGGGTAGGGGTTGTTGCAAGAAGGGTTGGAGGTAGGGCGTGAAGGAGGTTTTAATTGGCAGAGGCTTTAGCATCCATCAGGTTTGTGGTCTGTTAGACTGGCCTGAATGGAGACAAGTGCTCTTTAGAGTAGGAGCAAGGTAACATTTATGAAATGATTCAGGGTAAACTAGTTAAGCAAATGGGGGTCCTGGAGGTGGGAAACATAGTGCCTGCT